CGGTCAGTAGTATGTTGAACCTTTTTCTCGATTATGATGAATCGTTTCAACTGGAGCCATGACTAGAATCTATATATATATAATTACTGGCTAATGAGCATTTAATAAAACCTATTAAATTATACCTAGGTGGCAATATAATTTTTTTCCCTCCAAAAATCGTTACTTTTTATTTATTTAACCTCTCATTTAATTATTAGGTAATCAATACACTAATTACTTTAAAATTACAAAAATTATTTTAAATTTTTTAATTATTTACAGTTGACCATATAATGTGTTGACTATTTAATGTGAGTAGATTTATTGTTGTGGTTACATTTAAATTAACTTCTTTCGGAAAATAAAAAACATATTTGAAATTCCTAAATAAATAATATGTAATTCACAAAAAAGATACATGCCAAAATATACATTATATCCAATATGATAAACACAATTTATAAAATTTAAATATTTCAGCTCCTTTAATTGTAAATTTAACAAAAATTATTAATCATTATATGTATACAAATAACTCACAATCTTTTATTTATATATTTTTGCAAATGCACAGGTTCAATACTAGTTTTTATTGATTATCGCATTTTTTTTTTTTCTGTTTTTGTGTTTTTTGCATCTGAATTTTACTCAACTGATGGATCCAACAACAATCAGTGAGTATACGTTATTGAAAGTATTTATTCCCATTTTCATGCGATAGTATATTGTTTCTCGGAAGCAGCTTTTTGTGCTGTTTTGTGGCTTCTAGTAAGCGACTCTGTATTGTTGGCTAGTTAGTTTGCTTTGTGGGTTTAAGGTGAGGAGAGGAATTTATCAGTCCAAAATAAAAAAAAATTAAGAGATTTGCAGGAAAAGAAATGGTAGATTCAAATTCAAATGGAAGAAAAAATGGGGAAGAAATTTGTGTCTTGGGGGAATGAACACGGAGGCCGTACGGTTGGAGAACTATCGGGCCAAAACGACAGCGTTTTGGTTTGAGACGAAACTACGTCGTTTTAACAACAAAACAACGTCGTTTTTTTTTTATTTCGGGCGACGTGGCTTTATATTAAGAGGCGGGACACGTGTCAAAAGCTGAAGGTAGCACCTCCTCTTTATAGATAAGAGAATAAGTTAAAAGATACATAAATAAAACAATAATTTGAAATCACAAAAAGATACTACCTCCTGTTCATTATAAATGTCGTTTTGACTTTTGTGATTCATCCATTTTGTTATGTATCTAGACATATTAATGTCTAGATACATAATAAAATGGATGAATCAAAAAAGTCAAAACGACATTTATAATGAATAGGAGGGAGTACAAATTACTAGTGTATATAAACAACAAAACAAGAAGTATACCTTCTCCATCAAGCAAATTTGCTTCATTTGGCCTCCTTTAGACCACTGCCCCTCAACATGAAGAAAATAAAATATTCATACTTAGTGTTCTTAAATAAGGTTAATACATAACATAAGGATGATAATGGCAATGATGGTCTCCCTACCCACCCTATATCTTTGGTATTAGAGAGGTAGGAATACAAATAGGCCATGGAGGGAGCACAAGTGGGAAGCATAGACGGTGCTCGCTACACACGAACCTAAAATGCTTCTCCGGTTCATGAGGAAGGCCCAGCGGTGTCAGCTCCCTCGTCCGCATGTTGTACGAGACCAAGTCCCTGAACCACCTCAAATACACTATGTCCGCATCATACGGATGGAAACAAACGAGGTCGAGGTCGGCAACTAATGTTGAGCCATACAAAGGACCACCAATCCTAATATCTTCATACTCAACCATATGCTGCAAACACCATCCACCCATATCATAGTCCTCGAGCACCCAAATCTTGAGCTGCGAGAAGCCGCGATGACCACCGCATGGATTGATAACTTCAAAATACTTGAGAAGCCCTTGGTGGACACCACACGAGCTGTAGTTCGCGCCTGGTTCATAACCTCTGTATCGAGCCATGGGAAAATCTATCAAGCGCATCTCATCAGGACTCGTATAAGGATCGTATGCTATAAGCCCAAGCTCACAATCGTTCCAGTGCAGTTTCCCGTTGAGGAGCACACACTTCTTCAGAAAAGAAACCCGAACTGCACGCGTGGAGTGAATGGTATATTCTACCCATTTTCCCGATTCGGGACAGAACACCACCAACTCGATGAAAAATTGTTTCTGGGGATGATAACGGACAATCACGACCCTGTAGCTGGTTAAGATTCCGGCTTCAACCCGTGTGATGAAACCATAGCTCGCATTTGCCCTTGTGATATATTTGGGTGATCGAGGTAGTGGAAACCAGTGGTTGGTCATGGGATTGCAGATGTACAGCTCATCTATGCACTTCCACTTGTACAGCACAAGCCCGTCGTGAATGGCATGGATGGTGGCCCAAATTCTCCTTTTCTTATCTTGCTGCTGCTGCTGAGATTTCGGAATGGGAAGTACACAATAATTAGGGGAAGGGGAGTTTGGAAAAGGATACATAATATCCATTAGTTTTTCCTCCGAAAAAAGGGTCATCCCACAACCTTCAGCACTCATTTTGTTAAAAATAAAGACCCACGGAGGGCGGCGCCAAACCGAGCCCGAGAAAGCAGAGGCTTGCCAGCCTCGAGAGGTGATGTTATAGAAGCAGGCAAAAGAAGGATCCGAGATTAGAGAAAGCCACTGTTTTGAGACACTTTTGCAACGGATAACCATCTTGATTGGGAGCCTGCACACAACTTCCATCAGGATCCACTCAGGCCATAGCCCATCTTGAAAACTAATAGTGACCTCAGTATTATTTATGGCTCCCGTTCCATGTTGTGGACTATCAGCAGCAGATTCCAAAATTCTCCTCCTTTTCGAGACATTTGAACCGGTACAACATCTGAGTTTTCCATTGATTTCAATTGCCATCATCTCACCCATTCTCGATTACCTACCTACCCAACAGAGAGAGAGATGTTAATATCAAAATCATGATCAAAAGGTGTACAAAGCATTATGCATGTAACTAACCTAGTCTTAGTAAGTACAACTTATATAACTTACAACTTCCAGTTCACAAAGCACAATAACACCATTTCCAAGTGACTGATCAACGAGGTAGCAGTTGCACAACATACGAGATCAACATAAGAAATAACAGTAAAGAAGACATAATAAAAGTCTAATGAGTGGAGTGGACTCCATGACTACACAATGCACACTACAACTTTTAACTGTTTCCCATTTCTTTCTTTCCAGGACAATACCAGAACTACATTAAATAAATTGTTCGAATTGAGGTTACAAAATTGTCGACTATGTGAATTAAGGTTTCTATCTAAGGTGAGGCAAAAAAGGAAACAATCACATCAATATTATTAGAATATTCACTTGTGGGTCCTTAATAAGAAAGTCCAAGCCCGTATACGGAGCTGGATGCCCAAACCTTACTAGAAACAGACTCCCACAAACGGGTACGTGGAGGAAAACGGGTACGTCATCGCACGGTCCCAATAGAATCGACTCTGATACCATGTAAGAAACGGGGAAAAAACGGGTGTGGTGCCACGCACGTGAAGCGCACTAAGACAAGGAAAGCCAGATGAAACCCAAGTCTAATAAGTACGATACTTGGCTAGGATTCATATATATACACAATGACACCTGAATGGAGAATAACTCACTTGCTCATGGTTAGACTGCAATTCATTCAAATCTTTGTTACAAAATTGTACAAATTTTGCTTCTCGATCATAAATATAATTTATTAATAAAAAACTACCACAAATTACTTTCTTGATTACTATTACAACAAACAAATTCAGCTGGGCATTCACAACATACAAGCAAAATGGGTCTACACTACACCCTTCTAAATTGGAGTTTCAAACCAAAATTTTTATTTTTTTATGTATCACAATAGCTAAGAAGGCATCGTCATATATCCTAAGAACAAAAGCATGAAATAGAAGATAAAATAATTAATCGCACAAAAAA